GGTATCTTCCAAAAGAATTAAAAGCATTATACCACAGCAATATATGCATACCCATGTTTGTAGCAGTATAATTTATAATCTTCAACACAACTCAAATGCCCATCAACAAACCAATGGATAAAGATGTGCGTTTTTTAAATACAATGGAATGCCACTTAGCCATAAAAAAGGATAAACTTGTGGCTTTTCTAGCTAAATGGATAGACCATGAGACCATACTCTCAAGTGAAATAAATCTGACACACATGCAAATAGTGCACTGTTTTTCTGGTGTGAGAGACTAAAAGTATAAATAAGGACCATAATGTACAATAGATACTGTGAAATAGGAAAATTTAGTTCAAACACAAATGGGAACTAGGGAGGGGGTAGAAAGAAAGGAAGGGAGAAGAACAGGTTAATAAAAGAAGGGAGAAATGGAAACAAAGCTTCTGTAAATGAGGAAAGAGGGACTGCAGGAAGGGGATGGAAGTGGGGAAAAAGCAGCAAGATACATCAGGTGCAGTACGTATAAACTCTCTGTGATGAATGTGATCATTATATATATCATTATGTATATCTAAGTTGTACCAACAAATTTAGTAATAGAAAAATAAACACACACACACACACCAACTCATACTTCTAAATTATCTGAAAGGCTTCGCCCTCCTCTGTGGAAACAGGAGGCAAACGTCTGCTGATGCTGCATGCTTCATTCTACTGCAGGCACAGACCTTCCTGACTTTCACACAAACACGTCCCTGAAGGCAGCTTTGGCATCTGCGCTTCCCCAGCACTACCGACCCCCAGTGTGGGGGCACAGACACAGGGCCAGCACGCAGAGGAAGCTGGGGTGGGCAGACTCCCAGGAGAGAGGGAAACAGCGATGATGAGCAGCTAAGCGGAGCCAGCCATCGGAGAAGGGCTGGCAGGTGGTCATTACTTTGCCACACAAGGTCCCCCGCAAACACGCAACTGAAGGAAAGCTTCAGCTGCTGAGCCACGGCAGCTCTGGGCCTTCGCCACACCAGGCACTGAAGCCCAGCCTTGCTCTCAGCACACCTTGCTCTCAGGTTTGCAAGGATGGGACTGCAGCTCTCCCAACACTGCAGTGCTTCCTTGGTCCCTGAAAGTACGCTAAAGCCCAGTGTTACAACCTCAGGAAACATGAGCTGGTCCTAGCCACTGCACTCTCCCAAGGGCAAGGTAAGACCACTCATGCCCAGCTCGGGGGAATCTGCGGGTGTTTTGGCTGAACCTGGCAAAGAAAAAGGAGATAAGATGCTCCAGTCTTGTTCAGCACTGTGAGCGTAGAGTAGCTGTGCGTAAGCCGTGGGGTGAAAATGCTCCTTCAGAACCACGAGTCAGTGCAGATGAATGGTGATAACCACTCCTGTAGCGCATACGTGCTGCAAAGGATTGGCTAAGTCATTCCATCTCCAAGTGTTCCCTTTCAGATTTCATTTTACAGCAGTCACTTTACAAATTAACCTTAGAGCAAATTCAATCAGGAGGCCTACGGGATGAATTCTCAGGGAAGATGTTGCACAGGGAGTATCACCAGATAAGCACCAACGAGGTTGTAGGAGCCTGTGTCTTGCTGCAAATCTGCAGGTCCTCTGACACGCATCCCTCGCAATCCACAGGCCGCCCTCACACTGAACACATAATGGTGGGATGTTATTGCCTTCTTGATAAAAACCCTTTTTATTCCAAAACACCTTTTAGAAGCTACCGTGCCACTAAGCTCAGTACACTTTCAAGAGTAAAAGCTAACAAGCAAAAAGATGAGGAACTGCCTGGTCTCTCAGCTGATTTGCTGCTCATGTGAGAGTGGAAACTAAAGACCTTGCATTTGATAAGCACACGTCTTATGTGTATGTAAATTTTCAAAAGAACAGAAAAGAAATAATGGGAGACAGAAATCCAAATCAGTCTAATACTCAAGATAATCAGATACCATTAAAAAAAAACTCCATAGCAACAAAATAGAAGACATTATTTATGTAGAATCACAACTAGATGAGCTCCAGATGCATTTTTAAATCTACTCTCCACATGTTTTTCTGCTTAATAAATATAACATCCAAGTTGGAATATGGTTGAAATATTGAATTGCCTAAATTTTGTCTATCCTCGTCTGCCGTTAACTATTTTGAGCTCTCTCCCCATCCAGCAGCCGCGCCTGAAATCATAAGTGCACAGGCTTGTGCACCAGAAAGAAAAACTACAGTCCCCAGATTTGTTTGTTCTGTTTTCCCTAAACAGAATCTTATATATAAAAAAATATATATGCCCTCAAATTTTGTCACTATGTAGCTGTCAAAAAGAGTCATTCTGTTCCTCTTCAAAATTCTCAACTTTAAATTCAGCTCGGTGTTACTGGTATGTTTGCAGCTCCAGGAAGTTACCGGACACCATCACAACGTTTCAGATTGTATCCGAGCAGCATCATCCGTCAATCAGTCTCAATTGGATGGAAGTTTCTGGGCCAACTTGGACAAGGACACAGGACAGGTTTCATTTTTCTGCCAAGATCACTTCCAGGACATTGGCTAATTAATTATAAAAGCTTTGTCAAAACAACTTTGAGCCTGGCAAACTTTTTTCCCTACCCAAACAGGAAAAACAGGTTAAAAAATAAAAGCACAGGTTCACTGTGTTAAAACAGGTTTTCTTTAAAAAAAAAAAAAAAAAAAAAGCCTGTATTTGCCATAACTTCAATTTATTTCCAAGTCTACTTTTCTTCCCTTGTCCTAAAAAGGAAGAGGACTTGAAGTTACTAGAAGAGTAGTTATTAAAATGGAACTATGAGCTTGCATTTCTCCTCTACCATTGGTCATGGACTGGATGGCAGGAGTTAGAAAGCACCTCTTCAAGCTGTTCGCTAGAACACAAACAATTTCTTCTTTCTTTTGGAAGTAAAACTTATTGGCTACTGTAGAGATACAATTTGGATGGAGACATGTTCTTACAGTGGAACAGTCATTATCCCTTGTTTGCTGCCTTTGAAAACAGAACGAAACTCCTGGGTTAAGTCTTCTGCTTCCTGTCAACAGGAGTGCTGATGTCCATGAGAGGTCACTGATGGGCAGTGGAGATTCTGGTGTTAAGGACCCAATCACACAAGTTCTACAACAAATCATGATGTGCTAACATATTACTTCTACTTCTAGAATCACAATCTTATGTAATTTGCATCTTAAGTCATCACACAATCTGGGCATCTTCATATGCCCCGATAAAAAGAAAAACCCCAAGAAGGTAAGAAATTTCAGTCAGCATTTACCAGTTCCCTGTTGGCTCATTCTGGCTAGAGGAGGGGTCTCCCTAATAAAAGAAAGCTTCCTCAAGAGCCCATTATGTAGACACAACTGCCTCACCCAACTGCAAGATCGCTGACAAGGAGCATAAACAATTAACACTACCCTGGAAAGATGGAATGCAGTCCACACACACACTAGCTCTGCAGGCCATTCTAACAGCCCGAGGGCTCCCTCCTCTGCTGTAGGTGTGCACCTAACCACGCAGCCCATGTCTGAATGATCTCCCCTGGACAGGAACCAGCACAGGACCTCCTCAAGGACTAAGTATTAATCTCAAGGTAAGGACGGAGGGCGGATATCAGGCCCGGGCACAGTAAAGTCGTCTTCCGGAGGGCTCTGGAGGACCCATGAAGAAGAGAACATCGGATTTCAGAGGAGCTTGAAAGGAAGCCATTGTAAGTTTCTTAACCAGAATAGAACACTGCAGGAAATAATATGAAATGTGTACTGAATTGAGAAAGAACAGACAGGGATTCGTTCCAAAGGTTTTTCTAGCAATCCAGAGCTGAGATGCTGAAGGCCCCACAGGATGGTGCTGGTTAAGGAGAAGAAAGACCCAAGGGTCACTTCGTGAGAAAGAACGTCATTTCACCTTTGCTGCACTGTTTAGGATTTACCATGGTCTATAAACTTCCGTCACAACTAAAAATGCTGCCAGTTCAAGAGACACACGGTCATAAATACAGCTTGTTTTAGAAAAAATAGCAAAGTGTGAAAAGAGAAAGCCTCCCTACCTAGAAAAAAAGAGGGAAGAATAATGTCGCAAAAATGATAACAATTAACATGTCAAGTATGAAGCCAACAAGAATCATGTTTTCCTGTTACATCAAAGAGCAAAAAATTAGTTATTGAATCAGATACTAGGTTTTTTTAAGCTGAGCTAACAAGTTGTGTCCAATTTATAGTATCTGTCCTATAGTTAGCCATTTTTGAAAAAAAAATTAACCAGAGCAGGTATTTCTGCTTTCATGTTGCTTGCTCTTCCCAACACGGAATGCTTTCCCTGCCACCCCAAGGAGACTGGTTAAGAGTGCCATCATTTTTTAAAATCATTTTTATAACATGCTACTTTTACTTCTCTGATACTGAGGCTTTTTTATAATATCAACATACTATATTCTGGAAATCCGTCCCCAGATGCCCATGGCCAGGCCTACGTCACATTCTTTCGCAACAAAGCAAACAGATTGAAAAGCATTGCTCTTCTTTCCAAATAGTCTACTTTCTATATGTGTTGACAGACAAATGCGCAGAGTGAGACGACTCTCACAACCCTAGCTGACACATCCCCCCCAAAGTAAACAATTCCAGGAGTTCTTAGCTCTTTATAGTTTATTAAAATACTTCTTCATAAAATATGCCATTTAATTCCCACAATAAACCTGAAGAGGTTATTCCTATTTTAAAGACAAGCCAAGGGCAGAGGATATAGCTTAGCAGCATAGAGCCTGCCTGGCAAGCGCAAGGTCTTGAGTTCGACTTCTGATACAAAAAAAAAAGTCAAACCAACCGAGACTCCAAGGTTGAAACTGTCCAGGTGAACCCATCCACAGGCTGGAGGTGGGATTCCAGTTCTGCCCTGACTCCAGAGCAGTGAGATCCCATTTACACCGAATGGCTCACTGCCTTTCCCAGCATCTCTGAGATGCACATTCCCACTGTATTCCAAAGCAGTGAGACTCTTTTGCTTACCTGGTCCTTCTCTGGTTTATCAGAAATGTCGTTGAGACTGGAGGACGTCAGGTTCCTGTGGGTCATGGCTGGGCTACCTGGAAGACACAAGTAGGCACTCTAAGTGCTCAAGTGGGTGGGAGCCCCATGCTGCACTCTAAATAGGCATTCATTTCAGGAAACACAGCTCGGTTTGCACACATCACAAACACTACTGCATGGCGATGGGAACAGTAACAATGCTTTAAACCACATCAGGACTCTCCCGAAGAGGTTTCCAGAATCCAGGTTGGGGTACAAACATGGTTAAATGGAAAGCAGGTAATGGCCCAGATATTTTAAGTCTTACTTCCTGGTCTTAGTTAAAGATAAACTAAACTTTAGGGGAAAAAACTTGTAAAATAATAAGCATAAAAATAAATCTTCTCCCAGTTTGGCTTACTCTATGCCACTGCCTTTCCTGTATGCTAATCTACCTGGTGTCCTTTCCTCTTCGGATTGCTTGGAGAGACCACTTCTTCACCCACCCCCAGAACCCGACTCTGGATGCAAGACTGGATTTCCTGTCCCCAGCCCTGCCTTCACTTCCCAGAGCACAGTCCTCTGCTCCAGCAGAAAAGCCACTTGCCTTCCCTTCTTTGGTGGACACCTGGGTCACTGTTAGGGGGCATCTAATCCAGAATCCTCATTCTTTACCTTAAAAGCTCCCTTTTCTCTCTGCACGCCCATCTGCCAGTCTAAAATAAACATATCCATTCTTCCTCCTTAACACATGGAACCTCTTTCAAGTCAAAGGCTAAATTTCACTGGACTACTACATAGAAACTAACCCTCCCAGCTGTTAACCTGGGCATCAACCGGCATCCCATCGACTTCCCTAGACCCCAGTACAGCACCTCCTCTCAGCAGGAAGCAGTAAAGAAAGAAATCTTCACCCCTTTTCATAATAATAATCATAAGACGGGATAGGAAAGAGTTTTGGCCCAGACAGGACACTGTAGCCAGTAAAGCCTCAGGTGGAACCAAGGAGCTCCTATCTCCCCCACCCCTAGGAATTTACCTGTGGCCCTATCTTCCTCACCCCTAGGAATTTGTCCCTGGCACCAAATTAGTGCCAATGAGATACCTGTGCATCCCTAATGCCCCCCAGGCACCACCCCTAACCTAAGCTACATGTATGCCCCCACTCCACGTGTTCCACGGAGAGATTGCTGGGGGGGATGCCGCACCCCAGGGGATCGGGGGTGTCTCTCCCCGCATTCTCAAAATAAAGGTCATTTATATTAGCCGCCACCGGTCCCCCACAGTTCTATCACCAGCAATACAGCAAGCCAAGGTAAATTCACTAGACATCTCGTCTAGTGAATTTAGTTACTTGTGACACTCTTACACATGGACAGAGAGGAGGGCAACACAGAACTGTCACTGACCACTTTCAGGGAGCCCATGTGAATCAACAGAACACTGAACTTTCATTCTACAGTTGGACCTGAAATTTCTAGGCTTGCTAAGCAAAAAAAAAGTAACTTTCGAAAGCCAAGGTGTTTGACCCAGCCCTGCAGGGTGCTGAGTAATGCATTCATTATTAATCCTCAATGATTCAGCTCAGGCTGGTCTTCACAGCAAGAGGACAAGGGTTGAAAAGAAGCACAGAAGAAGTTCAAAACAGCTTCACACTGGCTTCTACATCTCATTCTTTAGAATGCAGACTTTAATTCTTGCACACAGAAACTCCAAAACATAATTTTATAAGACTAAAGTCTATTCCAAATAGACAATAAATGTCTGTCTAGCAGCAGCTATTTGAATAATATAATCACCTTTAACTACTAGATCATAAAAATGCATTTTCTTGAGCTAGCAAGACAGGGTATTTTCCACTCTGCTGCATTTCATTGAGTAAGCATGGCCTAGATCTCTTAAATCCTCTACCTGATAGGATGTGTTATTCTAGGAAACCTGGAGCACAGGACATTATTAAAGGAAAGTAACATCTGAAAAAGTGCTTTATAAGCAAAATTAAAAGAATCTCTTTAAAGTCAGGTTTTCTACCCTGAAACAAATGCTAGACTTCCAGTGTCCATTCAATGTAAAAGACATGAGACACAAACATTAATGCCTCCAAACAGTGCTGAGATTGACACTACCAGTAAATGATAAACGGGGACAATTTTGCAATTATTGAAAAACAAAACCTATTATTAGGAGTAAGTGAGTATTTTGTCTGCGCAAATGAATTATGTATTCCTAAAGCAATGAAGCCTTAGGAGTCTTGATCATATTTGTAAGTTAAAATCAGCTGCTATAGGTACATAGATCAGATTGCTTTCTAATTATCAAATTAATTGTATATAAATGACAGTATGGAAATAACTTGAAAGAAGTTTTTCATTAAATAAGTTAACTGGACAACAGTCTAAACATATTGATTTGCTTTGAAAAATCTTTGTAAATACTATAAAGGTATATTTCATCGCAATCATTGTCTTAATTGCTGAATAGGTAAAAGGCAAATGAGCGAAGTTTTTACTATGATGATAAACTTGACTGATGTGATGACTTTTCCAAGAAGCCTTGTGTATGATCTCATTATTTCTCTCATTTCTGAAACACAGTTTAATATAATACAGCGATCTATATATACACTAGATGGGAGGGCAGAGGTTGAAAGAAGATGCAAGAACCAGATAAGAGAGAAAAAGGTGATATTAAACAATCCAATCTATTGTCCCTCCTTAATATCTCTGGTTCCCATCAATAAAAGTGATTAATACTGCCGCGTCACTAACTTTCCACTTTGTAAACCATGTACTGGATGAGCTCAGAAGTCAAGCTCCAGGTAATTAAGCAAGATGATCTGCAGTCTTCAAACTTTTCTCATCTTTTTCCCTATTAAGCTTCCCATGCCCAGTCTCCAACACCTCGAACCAGAAACAAACACTAGCCTCTAAATCGTGCTTTCCGAAGTACAGTCCCTGAGCCAGCAGTATCTGCTTATTAGAAATGCAAGCTCCTGAGACTCACCCCAAACCACTTCTGTGAAACTCCTGGTATGCAGCATAGTAATGTGGGTTTTAGCAAACTTTCCACGTAGTTTTGAAGCATGCTGAACAGTGAAAACTGCTGCTCAAAAAAGAGACACATTCAAGCTAGAATTCCAAAGGCGACCCCTGAAAACTCGCCATTCTCTATGCCCCTGCTTTAAACTACCCTTTCTCACGCAAATCATTCGAGTCACATTTCTGTCACAGAAACATATGAAAAGAATATTCAATTTTCCCTTTGCATCCTTACCTAGAATTTGTTTTGGAAACTCATTTTTTGATCAAATTTTTCCAGAAACATGTTATGCAAATCAAAGACCAGGTGAGAGCCAAAAGAGATAACAAATCAGATTGCATGTGGGAATCAGGAATGCGTGTGTGGAGCTAGGCAAACTCAGGAAGCTGTGGTACAACAGGCCCCTGACAACGTTCCATTGTGCACAGTATGCAACTGACACGTAGTAAGATACATGGTCAGAATAACTCAGTGCTCACTATTTAGAGTTTTGACCTATAATGTAAATTCATTATATACAGTGAGTGGGGAGGGGTCTATAGAAAAATGTCACTTGCGGATGATACTTCCCCAAAGCTACCCTTAGCGCACCCTGTCCACCTAACAGCCAGGGCATATAAATGTCTATGATTGTTCTTAGACCAAAGAAACTTTTTTCTTAATTTTGATTTTAAAAAGAGAAGAACCAATGTCAAGTGCATAATCATAATTAATTTCCATAACACTGTTTTCTGGCTGTAAGGCAAAGAAAGCTTTAGAGAATCACATTTTCAAGCAGTTTCATACAATCAAAAACAATTTCATTTTCAAAGTACCCATTTGGCAGGTACACAGTGTTTCTATAAAAATTAATCACATTCTGTGCTAAGTTTAAAAACTGTTGTTATTCTTTAGCATACATGTAGCGATTCATAGTCTTTTGCAATTGTGTCTATTAAATACAATAAAAACGAGTGAAGGCTCCAGTGAGGGACACAATTGCAAAAGCCTTTATGAATTGCTACATATATGCTAAAGAATAACAACACTTATTGTTTGATCATTTTTTATGCCTAATCTTATAAACTGAACAGCTACTTCTAAAATAACAAGATGCAATATATTAACTAGTGTTAATTTCCTATTTTTTTGAAATTCTGTATCATTTCTAACCTTTTTTCTGTTTTGCTTTTTAAAATAATAAATAAATAAATATGCGTGAAGCGGGTGGAGATGTAGCTCAGCCGCATAGCACCTGCCTAGCAAGCACAAGGTCCTGAGTTCAATTCCCAGTATCAAAGAAAGACAAAAGAAGGATAAAATGGGTGAAGAGAGTTTCCAGCACAGCAGAAAGATGATATTAAAGTATGGACAGTAAGAAATGCACATGGGCAGAGAACACGGTGACATGTAAACCTCCTTGCCTCACCACCTCCCTGATGAGGCAATAGAGAACACAGTTAGGAGCTATCGAAAAAGTCTCATGGTCTAGAAAACATACTGGAACATTCTAGGGAACATTCTTAAGACTAATTTAATATGAAAAGACTTCAGCATAACAATAAGTGAGGTAACTTACATAAAATATATAAATGAATCTGCATGCTCATATAAAACTTCAGAGGTATGAGTTCTATTTATTTTCAGAAACACGCACAGCTAGAATCTAGGAGTGGGAATATCCAGAAAGGTCCTGTGCTGCAAGCCTCGTCCTGGGCATGAGGCACCGATGGGGTGGTGTGAGTGTCAGGAGGTGGGGCCTGGTAACAGGAAATGAAGGTCAGGCCCTGCAAGAGGTCCTCCTGTGCCTCCCAGCTGCTGTGTAGACAGCCCTTCTCTACTCCAAACTCTGCCATGAGATACTGTGCTCTGCAGGCTCCAGGCAACAGAGACAAAGACTGCAAAATGAGCTTTCTGAAACAATGAGTCTGAATAACCTTTTCCAGTATCAACTGTTCATCTCAGGTATTTTACCTCAACCACTGGAAGCTGACTGCACATTACTTCATTCTGCATTCCCACCAGTACTCCCCGCCACCTCTCCCGCTTTTATTGACAT